AAGTCCATCTTTCTACTACTTCAGTATGTCCTGACATACTGATAGGTATGAACAATGTTAGAAAGTCTGGCATTGTATTGTCAAGATATATTTGACAGTTTCATTGAGAGTCCATCTTTTATTTGGGAGTAGAGATGCCTGCTACAATGTATCTTCACTTCTTGGTATGCTAGTCTCCATTGTACAGCTCCTCTAGAATATAAGTATGTATGTATACTCACTCTCTCTTTCTCTCTCTCTCTCTTCTTCATCTGCCTTTAAAAAATAAACAGACACATCTTTAAGAGAGAGAAGAGAGAATACAGACTTTAGGATCTGATTACCAGACTAAATCCCAGATTTGGCATTTATTAGCTATTTATTTATCTGTAAGTTTAATATTTAATTAGACTACAGTTTCCTGGGAAAAGCAGTGGAATCTACATGTTAACATCTCCACCTTACACTTGTTGCTTTTTCTATCAGTTTGTCTTTAGACCAAAGCTCCTAAAAATGGACCCTGCCTCACATCCCTCATAGTGCAATGGAGAGAATCAGAGGAGGGAGGAGAGAGGACACTAGGAGGAGAGTGCAGGGTTTTATTCACCCATTTTATTGGGGGGTGGGAAGGAGAAAATCAAAAAAGAAGAGGGAGAGAGTGATAGAAATTATCATTCACTGGTTGTGTCTCCTAAATACATGCAACAGACAGAGTTAAGCCTGGAATAAGCAATCTGGGTCTCCCATAGGGATGGCAAACCCAAGTATGAGTCATCAATTGCTGCCCCCAAGGTGTGCGTTAGCAGGAAGCTGAATCTGAATACGAAGAGCCACAACCAGACCCGGGCACTCCAAAGTAGGCCAGACTGTCTCAACTGGCCACATAACTACTGTTGGTATGCGCTTTTTTTTTTTGTAGAGATTTATTTATTTTGATTGGAAAGTCAGATATACAGAGAGGAGGAGAGACAGAGAGGAAGATCTTCCATCCGATGATTCATTCCCCAAGTGGCCGCAATGGCTGGAGCTGAGCCAATCTGAAGCCAGGAGCAAGGAGCTCTTCCAGGTCTCCCACGCTGGTGCAGGGTCCCAAGGCCATGGGCCATCCTTGACTGCTTTCCCAGATCACAAGCAGGGAGCTGGATGGGAAGCAGGGCCACTGGGATTAGAACCGGTGCCCATATGAGTTCTCAGGCATTCAAGGTGAGGACCTTAACCACTTGCACCATCGCTGTTGGTGCACTTTTAATTGGAGTTGGGAAGCAGTCAAGATTGACCCTACTAATAGGATGACATTTGGACAAAACCAAAATACCCGCAAGAAACAAGACATGCAGAACCTGGAGAAAAAAATTCCAACCAGAAGAAAAGGTTTTGAGGTAGGAGCAACCCTGGAAAATTAAAGCAACGACAAAAGCCTAGTGTCTTACACAGGATCAAGGGAGGAGTGAAGCATAAAATACGCAGGGCCTGGCAGGTGAAAAGGAAGCCATAGTAAACTTCAGAATAAAGGGTGACATGAAGCAACTTCAATTTTGAAAGGATCCTGGGGGATACTATTTTGATAGTAAGTATAAAGTCTCAGAACAACAACAGGAGTCTATGAGGCTGCTGTAATTGTGTTGGAGAGTAATAGTAGTGGTACTGAACCAGGCAGGGTGGTGATGAGTACAGAGATTATCCTTTACCTACCATTTCAGTTACCCTAATAAGCCATGGTCTGAAAATACTGCATGGAAAATTTCAAAAGAACTATTCATCACTTTCAACTTGTACATTATTCAGATTGCATAATGAAATCCACCATCCTGCTGCTTCTTGCGTAAGATGTGATTCATCCCTTTGTCCAGCATATCCACCCTCATCATCACAACCATTCTGGAAGTGAGCCAGCAAACAAAGATCAATCTGTGTCTCCCTGTCTATATATAACTTGGCCTTTAAATAGGTAAATAGAGACCTGGGGACAGGGTTCCTGGTGAGACTCTGGTCCCCTAGCTTGAATCTCTTTTTTTGTTATTATTATTAATTGCATTGCATTATGTGACACAGTGTTATAGGCACTGGGATTCCCCCCACCTCTCCCCGAACCGTCTCCCCCTTGTGGATTTCTCCACCTTGCTGCATTACCACAGTTCAAATTCAGTTGAGGTTCATTCATTGGAAGTATTCACCCAGCATAAAGTCCAGCATCTTATTATCCTAGTGAGTTCAACGATTTCTTGTTGAGACCATCTCTGGTCTGAAGGTAAAGCCAGCAAAGTATCGTCCCAATCAATTAAAAGCCCCAACATAACATCAACAACAATTTACAACATTATGGCATTAATTGACATGGTATTGATTAACCAACATGTTAATAGGCAAATGCAGGTTCTCAACTTCATCCTGTGACTTCTTCATAGACATTTCAATTTTGGTTTATATTCAACCAGGTTCTATAAAAATGTGGAACGTTTCACGAGTTTGCATGTCATCCTTGCACAGGGGCCATGCTAATCTTTTCTGTATCGTTCCAATTTTAGTATATGTGCTGCCAAAGCGAGCACCCCTAGCTTGAATCTTTTGACTGGAATGCATGCAGCCAGGCCAGTGAGCCTCAGGGATGTGGGTGCCTAGCAGGACTTTGGGTCAGGTGGCCCAGGAGATAATGGCACCTAGCAAAGCCCTCAGACAGCCCAGCAACCTGCTCTGTGATCTTGGGGTATAGTCTTACAGGGGGTGTAGGGGATGGCACAGATGGAGCAAGCAGGAACTTAAGGGTTCTTGTGCAGGTGAGGAATAGACTAATGAGGAGCTTCCATAGACAAGGCCACCGTACTTACAGGTAATGGAGGGGGCTGAGACCAAGCAATTTGGAGGGAGAAATGGGAAGACCTTTTAGGATCAGATCAAAGTATTAGCACACACGGGATACCTGAGTTGGGCTAATTAGCAATAGCCCTCACTGAATATCACTCAATGGCACACACTAAAATTAAGGCTGGGGGCCTCTCTGGCAGGGCTGGATCACAGTACTCACCAGTGAGAGTCAGAACAGCAGATAGGTAATGTTAGGCTGGGCCGTGACACTAATCAGCATGTGAGAGATTCAGGTCTAGAGGCAGAATCTGTGAGGGTTGTATGTAGACTCATCCCTGTGGAACATCAATCTCTGTTGGCACATGCAAGATTTGAGGCTGGGAACAAGCCTGGTTGGGGAGTTACGGGAATGCCCTGGCTGGGTTGTGGTTCCCACTGGTGAGTACCAGGGCCAGAGTGGGGGCAGCGTTGTGGGTTGAACATGGCTACAGTCTCCTTTGGTTTCGGTGTGGACTAGGTCTGGGGCGCGCCAGACTGTGTTAGACTCAGTGCCCACTGAAACTCATGAGAGGCAAGGTAGCTAGAATGGGATGGTCAAAGTCTTGGCTCCAACTGATCCATGTGCAGGGTGTGGCTGGGCTATAACACCCAATAGTAAGAACCGGAATGGGTGTGGACCAGTTAGGACTCTACCAAGCCAGACTGCAGCACCCTCAGGTGGATGCCAAAGAGAGGCAAGTCATGACAGTCTGGGGCTAGTGGATGCTGGTCCATGAACCCTGGGAGCAGGGAGTCTGACATGGCCTGGGTTACCTGGCCTGAGTTGTTGGGCCCACCTGCATGGTCAGTGCCAGGTCTGTGAGTTCCGAGGAAAGGGGGTAATGAGGGACCTGGGTCACCTGTCCAGGTCCTTGGGCCACCTGCACAGTGGACGTTGGGTCCATGAGCTGCACATGCACTCGCACGTGCACGCGCACACACACACACTGCTCAAGAGAGCTCATGAAAAATCAGCACAGGTATCTTTTTTTTTTTTTTTTGACGATTTTTTTTGTTGTTGTTGTTGCTTACATTGTATTATGTGATACAGTTTTATAGGTGCTGGGGATTCCCCCCACCCCTCCCATACCCCTCCCCCCAGGGTGGATTCCTCCACCTTGTTGCATAACCATAGTTCAAGTTCAGTTGAGATTCATTGCTTGCAAACACATGCCTAGCATAAAGTTCAGCGTCTTATTGTCCAGATAAGTTCAGTGGCCTCTTGGGGAGACCTTCTATGGTCTGAAGATAGGTCTAACAGAGTAAAGATCCGGTCAGTTAAAAGCCCCAACAAGGCCTCAGTATCAATATACAACATTATGGAATTAATTGACATAGTATTGGGCAAACAATATGTTAAAAATAATGCAAGTTCCCTTCTTCGAAACATCTGGGTTGAGACAGTATCAATGACAGGTTCAAAAAATAACAAACAACCAAACAAAAAATTACAGGTTAAATCAAGGCAAACATGTGGTATCTAATCTTTTGGGATTCGCTCATTTCCCTTAGCATTATAGTTTCCAGTTGTGCCCATTAAGATTTATTTTTTATTATGTTTTTATTGGAAAGGCGGATATACAGAGAGGAGAGACAGAGAGGAAGATCTTCCGTCCAATGATTCACTTCCCAAGTGAGCACAACGGCAGATGCTATGCCAATCCGAAGCCAGGAGCCTCTTCCGGGTCTCCCATGCGGGTGCAGGTTCCCAAAGCTTTGGGCCGTCCTCGACTGCTTTCCCGGGCCACAGGCAGGGAGCTGGAAGGGAAGCGGGGCTGCCGGGATAGAACCAGCACCCATATGGGATCCCGGGGGTGCAAGGCAAGGACCTTAACCACTTGTGCCACCGTGCCGGGCCCCAGCACAGGTATCTTCAGCCACTTGTTTGTAGGCTCCCAATCATCCAGGTTCGCTCCATTATCTTCAACTAAGAATCTAGAATCCAGCCCTCCTATTAGTCAGCACCTCTGTCATGTCTCCATGCCAGTGCTCATGTTCCCACCAGGATGTGCTCCAGTGACCCAGCAGACAGTGAGGATCAGCAATGTTCAAAGTCAGGTAGGTCCTCTTGTGGAAAGGCTTCTGGTGTCAAAATGGAGAAGAAAGAGCTCACGCCTTTCTTCTTCCTGAGTGTGACAGCAGCTTGAGGCTGTGGCAGAGAACGTGACAGGCTCTGGGAGCCTTGGAGTCATGGCCACCAGACCAGGATAAGGCAGACCAGGACACCTGCTGTTGGACAGGAGCTAGAAAAACCAGAGGCCTACCGGCATAAGGCTCAGTGTGCAGGTGCTCAGAGGGGCCAGGCTCTGCTTCCTCCACTCAGATGATCTTCATGGGCTGGCCTGGGTTATGGACCTTACTGTAGATGGTCATGACAGATTCTTTCTCTTCCAGATGTTGCTCACCTTCACACTAGAAATGCAAGGCAGAGGGTAAGTGGAAGGGCTGAGAAATAGAGAGGCCCCGAGGGACCTGCCCATGAACTTGTGCTGGTTGTGTTTTTTCCAAAGCACTAGGCACCCTAGTGGCAAGTTGCAAATTTCTTTTTATAAAACTGTTGACATCATTAACCACTGAGAAAAACAGCAGGTGTCTGGTCTGGGAAAGCCCATGGTTAAGCCGTGAGAGGCTCGTGAGTGTCCACTCTGACCACCACCCCCAGCTCTCACCTTGCCTCCCTGGGTCTCCTGCTGCGTCAACTGTACATAGTCAATATCGTCATCATTAGTCCCATGGTCTTCCTGCAAGGCAGCACCTGAGTCATCCACAGACTAAAGATTGGTTTTGTGCCTGGGAAACTGTAAACCTCCCCATGCCATTGACCCCAACTGCATAGTCAACCCCAACAGCTTCTCTGCAGGGCTCATCCAGCGCAACATCATACAGGTGTAGGGACCACCAGTGGGGGAGGAGAGGAGCTGGAACTTCAAGGAGAAGGGAAACTTGCCTCCTTCAGTCTCTTTCTCCTTTATGCTCTTTTTCTTCTTTCCACGTTTCTTCCAAAGGACTATCCCAGCGACCAGGAGCAGCACAATCAGAAGTGTCACGACAATGACTGTCGTGATGTTAGCCTGTCCATGTGACTCTGTTTCTCTCACAAGGAAAGAGTAAACAAAGGATGAGACAGGAGAAAAGTTGAGATAACTATTGCCAGGGGAGATGAAGTGGAAAAGCAGGTGGAGAAGTTGGAAGGGACCTGCTGGTTCAGAAACTGAGGGCAGAGGAGCATAAGAGAGCCATTCACCAATCACCAAGCTCCTGCCTGATGGCAGAAGCTGAGATGCACAAAGCAGGGATTCACCTTGGGAGAAGCTTATCACCAGGGAGGGAAAGCTGAGAAAACACTGACGGGTCCCAGACAGAGTGTGACTGCAACACAGGTGAGTGTGTACTGGTTTTTGTATGTTTGCTTGATTTTGAGAGATTATGTTGAATCACTTCCCACATACCCACAGTTCCCACTGCTGGGAACATCCAAGCCTTCAATATGGATGGCAGGTACCTAGTTACTTGAGCCATCACCTGTTGCCCTCCAAAGTGAAAAGCCTGAATTGGGAACCAAAGCCAGGAATTCAAGTAAATAAAACATACATCATGAAGCAGCCATTTAACCACTAGGAAAAATGCCCACCCTACGACAGCTTTCACACTTTTGCTAGTGCTTTAGGGAAGGCTTTGGACTTTTCGAATACACAGGCTACAACAGGCTAGTAAGTAAATGTTTCCATTTGGAAAGTGTATGTGTCAAAATGTCAGGGCTGAAGTGACCAGTTTAGAAGGACTATCAAGGGAGCAGCCATGATAAACTCAGAAGGTAGTGATAGGAGTTCAAGTCCAGAGGATCTTATGTCATGGTAAGTGTTTGACTTAAGGATGGAAGTGTGGAGAAGATGTACTTAATGGTCTTGCTATGTCAAATCCCTCCAGCAGCTCTTGAGGGTGGGAGGAGGGCGGGAAAGGGGCAGACGTGAGGGAGTTAGAGAGAGAATGACATCCATTCAGTGTACTGGGTCATCCATTCATTCAATGAAGTACCATTTATGAGCAAATATGATCAGAAATTCATTTTAGAATTAAAATTCTAGAGGGTCTGGCATGATTGCTCAATGCCTAAATCCTCACCTTTTGTGTACCTGGATCTCATATGGGTACCAATTTAGGTCCTGGCTTCTCCACTTCCCATCCAGCTCCTTGCTAATGGCTTGGGAAAGCAATGGAGGATGTCCCAAGGAATTGGGACCCTGCACCCATATAAGAGACCCTGAAGAAGCTTCCTGGTTCTTGGCTTCAGACCAACTCAGCTCTGGCCTTCACAACCATTTAGGAAATAGACCAATGGACAGAAGATCTTTCTCTCTTTCTCTCATTCTCTCCATAAATCTGATCTGCTTTTCCATAAACAATAAATAAATCCTAAAAATGAAAAAAGGGAGAAATGTTAGGGCCAGTTGTGATGACCAGATAGGCTAATCCTCCACCTGCAGTGTCAGCATCTCATTGGGCAATGGATCATGTCCCAGCTTCTCCACTTCTCATCCTTCTCCTTTTTTATACCTAGGAAAGCAACAGAACATGGCCCAAATCCTTAGTACCCTGCACCCACATGAGAGAACCAAAAAGACTCCTGGACCTGGCTTCAGAATGCTTTAGCTCTGACCATTGTAGCAATGTGAGGAATGATCCAGTGGATGGAAGATCTCTGTCTCTCCTTCTCTCTGTAAATTTGTCTTTCAAATAGAAATAAACATTTTAAAAAGACTTTTTTAAAAAGAGAAAAGATATTCAAGGTAGAAAAAGACATGACCCCTTCTCTTAAGGCATTAGGTCCACAGGAAAATCAAATTCATGAAAGAATTATATTACTACTTCACCCAGGTTGACCCTGTGCAACTCCTTATAAGAAGTACTACCGTATTGTAAATTGTTGTTGATGTTATGTTGGGGCTTTTAATTGATTGGGACGATACTTTGCTGGCTTTACCTTCAGACCAGAGATGGTCTCAACAAGAAATCGTTGAACTCACTAGGATAATAAGATGCTGGACTTTATGCTGGGTGAATACTTCCAATGAATGAACCTCAACTGAATTTGAACTGTGGTAATGCAGAAGGTGGAGAAATCCACAAGGGGGAGACGGTTCGGGGAGAGGTGGGGGGAATCCCAGTGCCTATAACACTGTGTCACATAATGCAATGCAATTAATTTTAAAAAAAAAAAAAGCACTACCTTAAAAGCTCACCATAGCTGGACACTGTCAGTGAACTACAGCAAGCAGTTCATGGTGAAATGTGCGAGTGAGACCAACAACACTGACAGAGGAGCATCAGACAGAGAACCCATCAGAGAGTCATAGGAAGTCACATCCCAGAGACAACACAGATGATTGAAACAAATGCAAGCAACAGTTTTTTTCTCAAGACAACTTGCATCCACAAGGTAAAAAGGGCTGGGGAAGAGACAGTCCAACAGGCCTCTATAGATGAGAGAATTTTAACAGCCAGTAGGATGTGACTCCATGCTTCTGAGATGAGTATAAAAGTAAGAGAGGGTGTTGCTTGATATGACAGAGAGAAAAGTCATGAAACCTCAGACCCCAGGGCCCACTCAATTATACTCACTTTGGACACAGATATCATCAAGCTCCAAGGTGGCAGTCTTCTGGTCCACCGGGTTGCTGACCACACAGCTGAGGCTGGCTTTGGGCTGACTCATGGGGAGACTCACATCCAGGGTCCAGGAGGTGGGGGCTGGCCACAGTGTCCTTCCATTCTTCAGCTCCCTGTTCAGGCCTGTGCTTTCCCAGGTCACATTCAGGTCCTCAGTGGCATCTGTGACACTGCATTCCAGGGTGATGTTGCACCAGCCTGACATTAAGGATGGTGACTTGGCCATGAGGTGAGGAACAGGCACTGGCTCTGGGGCAGAGGGAGACAGAAGCTTGGGGTCTCAGCTGTGTGTAGTCATCACAAGCAGCATATTCTCACCATAACCTCACTGAGCCCAGACACTGGCCTGTGAGAAATGCGGAAGCGCATCACAGACAAAACACAATTTTCAAATACTAAACATTGAGCAAATCACAATAGGGGCAGCAGCAATTGAGTTCACAGCCAGATCTAACTGAGACACTAGAACAGTATAGACTAAATTCCATTTTCATGGGCCCATGGTTTCGAGGAGAGTGCATTCATTCCAGCAAGGCAGAAGTGATTGAAGCAAAAGCTGCCATGATGCCTGGGAAAGCACAACCCTTCTGAGAGAGGAAAACAGGGCAGCACTGGTAGGCCAAGGAAAGGTCCCATTTGTGGGTGATGCCGTGGTGGTGACAGGGATGACAGATCCAAAGTAGGGAAAAATATGCAACTAGGCTTGTAGAACAGACAAGAAGAGAATGGAGCATGTTCTCAAGCTCTTCTAGAAATCATATGGGATTCAAGTTGCCATATCAATTACTATTTGTGGCAGGATATTTCACAATGAGGAGAGGATTTGAAGGGAAAAAAAATAGGTGAAAACTGGGTTGCCTAGAAAATATTCCCAGTGTGAAGTTTCTCCCACAGTAACTAAGGATTTCATAACTAATTTCTGGAGTGTGTGTGAGTGAGGTGTGAGCCAGGCTGAGGGAAGGGGAGGGGACAGGTAGGCCTTAGGTACATGGGGGCTCTACATGTGATAGCAGCACAGTAGCCTGAGTAACGTCCAAGTCATCATCCTCAGATCATGTGAAGATGCAAGGTCCATGACAAAGGGAACTGGAGATAGCAAATAAGGATATTGGCACCGTGGGGTAATGATTAGTAAAAAGAACAACATTTCAGAGAATGCAAAGTGAGGCCTCACCCACACTGGCAGGTTTGCATAAAGAAAAGGACCACGCCCCAAGTTATGGCAACAGCCTACAGGACAGGGAGAAAGGCAAGAAAGGGATTCTCCTTCACAGCCCTACATCACTCAGGTATAACACAGCGCTCTGCTGTGTTAAGACACTACTGCTCACAATCTTTAAAATAATAATAAAAAATACAGAAATGAAGTAACCACAATGCTATAAAGAAAATTACTACTATTTCAAAAGCCCCAGTTTTCAAATGTTATAATTTCTTCTCATAAAACACTGGGGTGATTCTCCCCACTTATGGGTCTCTGCTCTGCTGACTGCTGGTAGTGGCACACACTGTGATCAGAGACAAATGCACACTCACAACACTGCCTGGTGAGATCTGCACAGCAGGCCTAGGACACGTTCCTGGGCAAAAGCAGGAGGAGATATGCCAGAACACAGATGGGGGCAGTCACTTACCATAGACAGAGAGCTGGAAAAACTGATTATATGATAATCCTGATGTGTCTCTGACCTCAGCCTTGTACTGCCCGCTGTCTTGAAAGGTCAAATTCTCAATCATAAGGGAAGTGACATTGGGCACTTGAATCCTCCCTTTGAACTTGTCCTGAAGGCCAAGCCATTTGTGAGAATCTGGTCCACTATTGACTCGCAGGAAGAATCTGTACTCTGACCCAGAACTAAACAGCCAAGAGATCTCCTCCAGCATCTCTTCTGACTTCGGGATCACATGGAACCACACGGAATCAGCTCGCATCCTCTTCACAGGAGAGTGGACACCACCAGGATTCACAACTCCAGAGCCTTGAGCTTCAGGACTGTTGGCCAAGGTGCTGCCGATGCCTAGGGAATTGGAAAAAGGAAATGAGGGCATTTTCTCAGCAAATACAAATGAGAAAAGCAGAATTTTCCATTTTAATCAAAACCATCAAAACAATCCCGTAATTTTAGAAAGACAACCTTAAGCAGTGCATTGGAAGCTATTCTGTAATCTATTGCTGGTTCCAAAGGAGCATGCCCTTGAACAGCTGCCATCCTCTTGTAACGTTCAATATCCTTCGCTGCATCATAATGACAGTGTGAACTGCATCAGATCATCGATGCAGATTTCTCAACACACAATGAGAGCATAATTGAGAACTCCACTTCTGAAAGAGCCTCAGGATCCTTCACTCCTCACAGACACACTTGGATACAATCCCCTCCCTAGAGAGTGGCTGCACTCTCTAGGTGAGAATATAGCAAATGGGACTCCAGGGGTGCAAAACTGTGACATTGTGTCTCCCTTGCACTCTCTTTCTCCTTCTGGTTCTGAGGGTTAACTGCCATGCTGGGAGCTAACCCAGGATGAGGCCCATAAGGCCAGGCAATGAGGGCAGTCTCAGGCCAACAGTTGGTGAGGGACTGATGAATGTTCTTCTGTGTTGTGTGCTGTCCACAGAGACAAGTATGAAGACAAACACGACCACTGTACCTAAGTACATCCTGAATGTAGTGCTCAGAAAAACAGCTTGCTCTTTCCATGAGGGAAAGAGGATAAGTGGACTTGCCAAGGGACAAGCTTGCAAACCCTTCCCCATAGGGAGTGGGTACCATCTTGAGGTTGTCTCATGAGTAACTGAGGGACTTTCTGCAAACTGCCTTGCACACCTAGTTTCCACACAGTAGGAGGAGCAATGCCGTTTTTCAGCAAGAGGTCTAAGAACAAAGGCACTGTAGCCACTCTCATTGACAGAGGCAGAGGAAGGCAAGAGCAGGTGGAGGAACGGGAAGAGGAAGAATCAACCATCCTGGCCCAGCACTGTGGCCTAGCAGCTACAGTCCTTGCCTTGAACACACCAGGATCCCATATGTGCATGGGTTCTAACCCTGGCAGCCCCGCTTCCCTTCCAGCTCACTGCCTGTGGCCTGGAAAAAGAGTCGAGGATAGCCCAAAGCCTTTGGATTCTGCACCTGCGTGGGAGACCTGGAAGAAGTTGCTGGCTCCTGGCTTCATGTCGGCTTAGCTTTGATCATTGCACCCACTTGGGGAGTGAATCAGCAGACAGAAGATTTACAAAAATAATAATCAACCTGCTGTTGAGGACAGAGGAGGTTCCTGGCTCCTGGTTTCAGATCTGTGCAGCACCGGCCAATGCAGCCACTTGGGGAGTGAATCATTGGACAGAAGATCTTTCTCTCTGTTTCTCCTCCTCTATGTATATCCTCCTTTCAAATAAAAATAAGTAAATCTTAAAAAAAAAAAGAACAAAGGATTGCCCCAGATTTGTCCCTGTGACCATACCAAGGGACCCTATGTGCATATCACCCATGTCACACACATAGTTCAGCGCAGCCAGCAGGTGTAGCTTCTGAACGATGCAGGGGCTTCTTAGGGGAATTCTCTTCTCATAAGGCAGAGTTAACACTTGTTTAAATTCTGCATGATGTTTCTTTGAGCCAACCTGTGGTATACTTTGTAAAACTACCATCTGTAACATCAGAACTCCACATAGACACTAGCTCAAGTCCTGGTTACTTCCCCATCCAGCTCCCTGCTAGTGTGTCTAGGAAAGCATCAGAGAATGGCCCAAGAGTTTGCACCCTTACAGCTATGTGGAAGATCCAGAAGAAGCTGCTAATTCCTGGCCTAGAATCTGCTGCTGTTTAGAGAGTTAACGAGTGAGGATGATTTTCTCTCTCAAGAAGCAAGATGGTGGGATAGGGTAAGGACACATTGAAACAGAGAAACATTACCCAGTGTGAAGCAGAAAGAACAAATTCCAGGAAACAGGACAGGAGAAACAACAACAGAGGGGCACCTGGAAACTGACAGAAACAGGAAAACACAGACACAACAGTGTGGTGTTGCAGTGACTGATACTCCAGAATTCAGCGAGCAGTGATCTGAACTGCAGCAGCCAGAACTCCACCAGCAACAACGTGGGAAGGGGCGTTCACCGGGAGCTCAGGAGGTGAACCCAGACAAAGAACTGCTCATCCTGCTGGTCTCTTTGATTTGATCAGGAGCAGACACAGAACAGCATACTCCAGATGGGCAGTGCAGGTATAGAGTGGATTTCACAACCCAGTGCACCTCCTAGAGCCAAATCGAGCTTCATTTTGTACAGTGTGGAAAAACTTTTAAGACTGCAGGGATAACAGTGAACTGCGCATGTGCTGAGCTTGGCGAGAACTCACTGAGCTCAGTGGATTGCACTGGTCCCACAGGGAAAAAAAATACTGATTACGGCATCGTACAGGTCAAAATAGGTCCGGGTGACCCTCTGACCTAATGGCCAGCAGGTTCCAGCAAGATCACTACCAACAACCTAGCTATATAGGACTCCTGATGTCTCCCTAATCCTGGGACCTGCTCCAACTGGAAGTGGAAGAAAGGTTGTACAGACAACAGTGCAGCCTCAACATGATATCACAGGAGGTGGAGAGTGGTGAGTCAGGAGCTAGGACTACAGAGACAGTGGAGGAAATCTAACATAAGAACCCAGACCTGGAACTTGCTGGAGGGAGTGGCACAATTGGCTGCAAGCAAAGAGCTGTGTACCAATTACAATAAGTAAAATCAACTGTAGACCTGTGGGTGACACAGCTTAGAAACCTGCCTCTGGGCCCGGAGCGGTGGCGCAAGTGGTTAAAGGTCCTCGCCTAGCACGCCCGGGATCCCATATGGGCGCCGGTTCTAATCCCGGCAGCCCCGCTTCCCTTCCAGCTCCCTGCCTGTGGCCTGGGAAAGCAGTCGAGGACAGCCCAAAAAGCTTTGGGAACCTGCACCCGCGTGGGAGACCCAGAAGAGGCTCCTGGCTTCGGATCGGCATAGTATCGGCCCGTTGCGCTCACTTGGGGAGTGAGTCATCGGACGGAAGATCTTTCTCTCTGTCTCTCCTCTCTCTGTATATCCGCCTTTCCAATGAAAAAATAATAAAAATAAATCTTTAAAAAAAAAAAAAAAGAAAGAAAGAAACCTGCCTCAAGGAGAAGAATCTGTTAACCAGAAGTACAATGACAAGAAGCAAAAGAAAAGACAGAAGCACAATGAATACACAATGAATACTGAAGACTCCCCTGTAAAAGAGCAAAACCCTGTGCCAACCTCAGAGTTCACTGAGGAAGACTTCGAGAAAATGAGGGATACAGAATTCAAAACACTTGTTATAAAACTTTTTATCAACAACGAGAAGCACATAAAGCAGGCATTCAAGGAATTTAAGGAATTTGTCACACTGGAAATAAATCAAATGAAAGCTGATATGAAGAAACCAATGGAGCAAACAAAAAGTACAGTGGAGAGTCTCCAAAATAGAACAAAGGAGTCAGAAGAAAGAATATCAGAATTGGAAGATATTTCCTGTCACCAAGGGGAAACAAATAAAAAGCTGGAAGCAGAACTGGGTCAAGCTAAAAAAATTATTCAAGAGTTGAAAGACACTATTAAAAGGCCTAAAACACGAGTTATGAGAGTCCTAGAAGGTGCAGAAAGAGAAGCTGGGTTTACAAATGTGTTCAACGGAATAATAAAGGAAATTTTCCCTAAACTGGGGAAAGCATTGGGAAACAACATCCAGGAGGGGCACAGAACTCCCAATAGGGTTGACGAAAAGTGATCTTCACTGTGACACCTGATAACCAAGCTCCTTTGGTCGAACATTAGGAAAAGATCCTTAAAAGTGCATGTGAAAAAAATCAAATGACATATAAAGGAAGGCCAATTAAACACACAGCTGACCTCTCACAGGAAACTCTACAGGCCAAAAGAGAATGGAGCAACATATTCTAGCTTCTAAAAAAAAAAAAAATTTGGTGGCCCATGTAACATACCCAGCAAAGATTTCCTTTGTCTTTGAAAATTAAACAAGTTTCTTCCACAGTAAAATCAAGAGTTTGCTTCTTCCAACCTGCCCTACAAATGATACGTAAAGTTGTTCTCTTGACAGAGAAGAGAAATAGCACACACCAAAACCAAAGGCAAATGTGAAGAACATCCCAGTAAAATAACAAGAGAAGACTAAATCAATGAACAACCCATTGCTAAAGTGACAGGACCAAATTACTACCCATTCATATTAACCCTAAATGAAAATAGCTTAAAGTAATCAAATTCAATGGATTAGTAGACTGGATTAAGAAACAAAATGCATCTATTGGTTGTCTAAAAGAGACACATTTCACCAACAAAATCAGCAGAAACTATATCTCATGGATTTTGATTTTTTGTTAGTTTCATCTCTTCAAAACACTTTCATCTCATTAAATCATTCAAGGACTCGTACATCATACAGTAACATCTATTTCTTCAAGAAAGTTCTTGATGTTCTTTTTCATTTCTTCAACTACACATTAGTCATTCGGCATCATATTATTGAACTTCATGGTGTTTCTAATTTTTTTCTTCCTGTTGTTGATTTTCTTTTGCAGCTTTTCATTTAAACGGATGTAATAACTGTGAATGGAGAATATCATATCTAGTAGCATGTTATTTAACTTCATGCTGTTGTCAATTTCTTTTTTCTTCCTGTTGTTGATTTTGTATTGTGACTTTTCGTTTAATGGGATGTACAATAACTGTGTAATGGAGACTATCATCTCCAGATGTGAGGATACAATGCAGTATGCATCTCTACTTCCAGACAAAGATGAACTCCCAACAAAACTGTTTGCTACATCTTGACAACAGGATGCTGAACTCTCTGCCATTGTCCATGCCTGCAATAATGGACATATGACCGTGTATTAAGAACTATACTCTAGTAATGATATTCCTTGTCACCTTGAAAGAACCACTTCCATTCTCAATACCAGAGAGCTAAAAATGAGAACTACCAGGCTTGTTTTCTTCTTTCCTTTAC